AAAGCATAAACCAGATACTCGAAAAAGTCCACGAATACAACCTGAACCTATACATAGTTCAAATAGATTTTTACAAAGCATTTGTCAGTTTTGAATACTCATAACATTTAAGGCATTGCAAACTCAGGGTGTTACTTACTAATACATCAGAATTTTGAAGACACTGTACAAACATAGCACAGCTAAGATCAAGACTGATACTGAAGGAAAAGCATTCCAAATAAAAAGGGAAGTAAAATAACGAGACATTTTATCACCCAACATTTTTACTAGTTTACTCGATGTTTTTAGAAGTTAAATGAGAGAACGAGGCACTAGGAATGAACGGAGGAAGACTAAGCAACTTCAAATTTGTCAACGGCATCAATTTACTAGCAACCTCTCAACAAAAACTTAAAAGAATGTTAGAAGAATTGAATAAAGAAAGTCGAAAACTAGAACTTCATCTAAACTTAAGTAAGACGAAATTAATGACAAATTACAAGGAAATCCCTATACAAATTTATGACAGCCAGATAGAATATGTAGAAGAATATATTTACCTGGGACAACTGATATCGTTCAACAAAAGACTTGACCAAGAAATTCACATAAGAATTACCCCCACCTGGCAAAAATCTGGAGTCTATCCTTCATCCTACTAGACAAATACATAGGCTTAAAAATAGAAGTAATAGACTCTCGTCTATTACCAACACTTACCGATGCCTTAACTAAAAATAACAATGTGCCAAAGGAATATAGAACGAAAATTCTCAATATCTCCCTCAAAGACCACATAACATGCGCAGAAATAAGGGGCAAAACCAAAATAAAAGATGCACAAGAAGGAGCTGCAAAACTGAAGTGGAAATGGGGCGGACATATTGTAAAATACAACGACCAAAGATGGTCACACACAACAATATGAGAACCAAGAATGGGCTGGCGACACCCCGGAAAGCAACACAAATAATGGTCGGACAGCTTTAGGTAGGCAGTCGGTAGCAAGTGGTCGAGGCTGGACCAGGACGGGTCGACGTAGAGATCATATCTAACATGAACACCTTCCTGTTCCTGATAAATAGAAAATATACAAAGAATAACAACGAAATGGAAAGGGTGTATCTAAACAGGTGAAAATGTGTCACAAACATTGAAAAACAATCTGATATTAAGAAAAGTGTGGATATCAAACAAAACAAATAACTATAGGTATCAATTTACGATCAGTTAAAGTTGCTATTAACAATGGATATGTCAATAACAAGTGTAGTCAGAATAGCGAACTATGTGAACTAGTGAAGTTGAACATAACCACTAGTGTACGAGCCACCAGCCACCGAACTAGTTATGTTACTAGGCCACACGTAGCCATCGATACAAATCTTCCCTGAGAAATCAGGAGGCCTTTGCCCTGCAGGGATTACATAGGCTAATAATAATATTAATAATAATAACAGTAGAAATTTTATTGTGAATGAACGAATAACGAATAGACGATCTGTGCTGAATTAACTATGAGAAAGAACGAGTATATCATGAGAACGTTTATCGTGGAAATGCGACAACGTAGTCAGATTTATTCACACGGAAACTAGATAAATATTAATATTGAAATGATGGCACTTCAGTGTCTACCTAATATAATTAAAATATCCAAATATCCGACACAAAATAAAACTTGTCTTGAATCCGACGTGCATTCTGAACGTAACTAATGGTCCGTATATGACGTTACGGAAACCAAGCACAAAGGCAACATTATGCTGATTCTTGTAAAATTTATCAATTCGTAATTTATTAACTGAGACTAGTTTCCTCGTTTTCTTGTTCTCTTAAGAAAATTATGTTTCATACATAGTAGTCTCTATTTGCAACACACATTATTCTGCTGAAATAAATGATTGGTATAATTTTAAAATATTTCAGTTCTTGTAAAGATATACACACGCATTCTTGTGAGGCTCTTGCGAGTAATGTATTATTATTTTCAATGACGTTTTATAAACGTGTTTTATTGTTATATTTATTTGCGGTCAATTATACCTAGCAATGATGAGATTTGAAGACTGTCGGAAAACTGCCAAAAGTCAGCATGAGAGAAGCATGTCAATTCCATATGTGAAAGATACATGGCTATCAAGTACTGGCTTTTCAATGAATGACGAAACTGTGTCGCAAAACTGCGTGTTTGTCTACGGAGTGCTCACTTGCAATTCCATGCGTCCGTGAGGGCTCGTGGATTAATGGCTAGCGCATTAACCTTCCACCGCTGGAGACTGACTTCGATCACTGGCCAATCTATGATGAAGTTTCGGTGGTCAAAGCAACCTAATGCCACGTTTTCTCGAGATTTTACCGTTAACACTCGTATTACTCCAGTTCCTACTCTTGATCTCTACCGCTATCTTCTACTCATTAGAAGAGTTCCTTATTCATTGGCGTCAGTGATCTCAGCAGTTGAAGACCCCATTAGTTTTCAGTAAAAATTAAAAATAAATAGGAAAATAAATGAATAAAAACTAATCGTGGGTCCACAAGTGTCAAATTATTTCTACCTTTTCATTTACTACTTGAAAATATCCGGTAAATTAGGGGCCGTCCATAAATTACGTAACGCAAATTTGGAGTATTTTCAATACTCCTTCCCCCTTATAATACACCCTTAACGCGCGTGAATCCCCCTAAATAGTTACCTAACGCTTGCAACCCCCCTCATAAATGCAAGAAGAGAAAATAAATTGTAGAACGGTAAATATACTTTGAATTAATTTTTCTAGTATATTTAAGTAATTAATGATAATTAAAGTCAAAATTAGTTGGCGTTGCGGGCTGCACCTAACGATATGATAAGAGGAAGTTGTGGGTGAAGGAAAAATTCTTAGGCGAGAAATGGTTGATCACCAGCTATGTACACGTCGTCGTGGATGATGCAAGAGCGAAAGTCTAGAGCGCCAATTTAAATGGATTCTAGAATACACTTCATATCAGTTTTGAACATTTTCTTCGTTATCTTACAGATTCACAAGCAGGTTGAAAAAATATTTCAATTTATTGTAACAATTTACAAATAACATAACTAATTAATTTATATTTTTAAAACAAAATAATTAGTTAATATTTTATTGTTGTAGTGCAGGACTCAAAAAATGAATTATTTCATCAAATGTTGAAAAATGGAAAAACAAATAAATGTTCATGTTACGTAAAACTTAACTAATACCCCATACCCCTATGTAACGCATCTTAACGCTACCTCAATCCCCTCCCTCTCTCTAGCATTACGTAATTAACCAACGACCGCTTAACACTTCTTTCTTTGCCTCGACAATCCTTCGCCTGAAGGCGGTTGCAAACATTCGGCGAGAAGCGAATGACCTCTCTTCTAATCGCGACTAGTGGAGACGCATTGATTGCCATGTGCCAACATTCGGTGCTCGCTCTACCCACAGCGTGCCGGCGTTTTGGACATATAAAAGCAAGCGAACATACGCTGAGCACCTCGAGCATCTTGGGTCAGCAGTGGCTCGAGACTCGCCGAATGCCGAATGTGTGGAACCGCCTTGACATCCACGTATTCCTCGCAGAGTTACTAGAGTCTTTCGAGGACGAAAGAGATGAATCGTATGGATTAGGGGATCTGACCATTACCTCTGATGCGTCATGGATCGTTTTCTAACTGCTTTCTGCTAGTGCGTTGAATATTTTTCTAAAAAGTGAACACAACAAAACCTAAAAAAAATCCTAAATATGAGTACATATTGAGTAACACTTTATTGCATCAAATCATATTAAATCTTTTATTGAGAAGGCCGAATTGTGATTAGATCCGATGCAAACATAATGTTGAATGAGGCAACGATTTCATGCCATTAAACAATTAAATTGTCTAATTTGTTTTATTAGAACTATCTTGCGAACAAACAATCTAACGTAGTTCGTGAAGGCGAAAGAACGGTAATCATAGCTATGCTGCATCATTATGTGGATGAAAATCTCTCGCAGACCGACACACACTTCCTGTTGAAAATTGGCTCCTGGCCATCGGGGAAAACAAATTACATCGAAAATGTCTACTGACGGATAATAGCCGCTGTCGCGCGCAGACATAGAAAGCACTTCATATGTGAGGTTAAATATTTTTCATGTATCTGCATTGGAAACTGCGCAGATTTTAAAAGCCTCATTTTAAAAGCCTTGGTTAAAAATATTATATCTGCATTGAAGGTTTCTCTTCGTCCTATTCCCGATAACTCGACAGTATTTCTTCATGTTTCAAAATACAAAATAAGCATATATTGAAATAGAAGTAATATTTTTTGTTTACTTACATATTCTTTTCGCACTTTAATGTTTTATATTTACGCGTAATATATTTATTTTTAATTTTTCTGTGAGAACGTTTCTGAGAAAATATCTCTTGAATCCAGAAGATGTATTGTATAATTCCATAATTTTATGCAGAAACGTCGTGGACAAACGGAAGATTCCACAACCAAGTGAAACGTTTGAAACTTCTGAAAGAAACTGAATGTGGCTTTTTTAGAGAACTATGCAAAAGCGAACTTTTAGTTACATACGTACATTATGTTCTGTTATACTTCCAAGAAAAAATTTCTGATTCGCGCGTGCGAGTATGTTAGTTTACATTTCAGAATTCTCAGATCCGTGCGTTGATTATAATAAAATATTTAAAAACATTTCTTTTGGTTATGGTTGTTGGTGATGTGACATTAATGAAGGTTTATATTTGAAGTAATTTATCAGTAATGGTTCATTGAAAAGTATAGAATTTGGTGTCAAAACATCTTGAAAGTGAGCAAGTGAACGTTCTCGGAGAACTAATGGTGTTGAATCTTCAGCAACCTAATGGTTATATAACATACCTTTTAGTAACTCTGAGGGCGTTACAAAGCGTTTTTAAATATAGTGCTTTGTCAAAGGGGAAACTCTGTGTATCTTTCGGATGAATTAGCAGTGGTTGCTTCATATACGCCTAACTGAGATTTCTCGTGACGATGCACATCACGGACTACACATCACTTTCGCAGTCTCAGAACCAACCGGGTTCCACTAGAAACTGCGGGGATGAGTTTCTAGCGCTGCTTTGGAGTTATGACCGGCATCACAGCGGTCGTTGCTTGTAAGGATAGATAGGTTATTTGTATTTAGTAGTTTATAATGATATTTGTACACTGGAAATGGTCTCGGGTATCATCAATCTCAGGTATCATTGTTACGCCTGGTATTTCATGATAGACGCCAAGCAAAACTGTGGAATTTAAACATTAACTTTCCTCATCCCTCTAAGTGCCATGGATAAATATGTGCAGTCGTCTTCGGTTATAGTAAACCTAAGTCGCTGGTCCCGTTTCACTTACAATTCAAATAGGTATAAGAAGATTCGGCAATAGACACTGAACCTCAGCTGTAATGCATGTACGAAATACGTTCTTGAAATTAATTCCCTTCTGAAAAAAAAAAAATCCCCTCAGTGCTACAAATTGCAAGACTAGTCAGCTTGGAAAAATGACAAAGGCCCATAATACAAGACTCACCCCTGAGGTGGAGGTAATGGACCAGGAATGTTTCATTCAGCGATCATTTTTCATTAACCGCTTGCGCCATGCTGTTACCGAAAGTATCTCGTATGTTATTAGGCGAGTAAAAGGGCCTTAGGACAGTGGGGCGGTGTTTCTGCAGTGCAAGATGCATTGAAGAGTGTCAAGAATGCATTTCAATATTAGAGACACTGAACAATGCAGACGTATGCACGGAGAGAGCACAAACTAGAGAAGAATCTAGTGAAATTACAAATGAAAAATGTATGAATCAAACAATTGAAAACAACTGATTTTTGAAGATCAAATAAAGTCATTGAAATTTTCGGTTGGTGCTGCTGATGTATTTTTCTGCATCTATAGAATAATAAAATTAATCAGTGTGAAGAAATTCTATTTAGACATCATCGGATATAGTGAACCCTTTGATTTAGTGATCCAAACATGTTAGTCCCCAAAAGTTCACTGTAACGAGTCGATCGTACGTACCCTAGGGCGATTAGCACATGCGTAATTGCCGAGCTGATTAAGAAATCATTTTAAGTAACGACTTTAAGATGAAAACTTTTTATAATACTGTAGGGTTTTATGAAATTAACGCAACCAGAGAAATGAAATAAAAAAACACTCTTTATGGCTCACATCTGTTAAACACTTCTGCCGTCTATTATGGAAAGAGGAAAACCCCATAAACCGTCCTACAGATTGGTGCCGGATCTTATCCAATGGGCGAAAGAACACCGCCACCTTGCGTGATAAAACATGCACTACACTTAACGGACTAACTTCCTTAGCAGCTGACGTCCCCGGAAACACAAAATATTCAACAAATCCTCCACTTGTCCCAAGTACGTGAAAGGCGCGATGGGTACGGAATGGCTAGAGGCGCCAGAGCTCTTGATGGGTGCGATTGCTCTTTAGTCGGGTCCACGGCCGCCTCGACCCAGCAGGAAGACGCTTTCGCTGCCGGCACTTGGGCGCCATCCACTTGACGCCGGTATACTCGCTCACGGCTGCTCACGGCTCACGCAACACTTCCTGCCGAGAAGCACAGGAAGCAGAATTCCCGCCATCGCAGTGTCAAGTGCCAGTGTGGAAGAGACGATATCGCAGCCTGGGCGTAGCCAGCGAGAGGAAAGGCAGAGGGAGAGGGAATTGTCCCTCTCTAAATTTCGAACGTTTATTCTCTCAATGACAAAGTCTTATATATAAAAGACAATATTGGTTTGTTTGTTTGTTTGTTTGTTCATACTTAATGCGCTGCCGAACCATTCATCGGGTTGCAATAAAACGTTGTGAACGTATTTCTTTCACGACTGGGAAAAATATAGGCATAGTCCAGTTGGAATGCGCGTATTCCGGCGCACATAGACGCGTTGATGATTTTATGTTAACTCAAGGGCCCTGATCAGGGCGCTTCACACAACGGCGCTCTCTACGCCACCCGTTGCACATGGAAGTACGATTATTAAGACGTCTTCATTGCGTATTCTCACCGGTAGAGACAGAGAGACCTTGTTGTATGAGACAATATTTAATGAATTAATGATTTGCAATTTCATATTTTTATGTCATGAAAGTTAAGTTTATTGAAATACATTTTAGTTATTTATTCGTTTTAAACATATAAATGCTTAATTGATTACTTTTTGTATCTTCAGAGCATCGACCGCTGATAAACCATTGTGACCTTCACGCGGCCAAACACCCCGATGGACCGGCGCTACCACGGTGTGCGACATTTGGAAACACGAGCAGGTACTATTTTGTCCTTAATATCTTTGAGATTCATTATTCCTGGCGCGTTAACTGCCAAGGTCATAAGTCCATCAACCTGTCGACCCCAGCCAGGACAATCTCTAGGCTCGCGACTGATCTCCCGACATGTGTGATAGTGTAGTGGATGTAGGTGTGTGTGTGTGTGTGTGTGTAAGGGTGAGCGTAGGGCAAGGTAGAGGAAGGAATGTTCGCGCACGGTCCGTGGCCCGTTTGTTTTTGGTACTTCGCCGGCATTCGCCTGATATTGATCTGAGAAACCCCGGAAAACTCGTATGTCAGAGCAGCAAGAATTCTCCTCCATACAGCAGCTGAATTCAACATAAGAGGTTAGTGTCGAAAATCTAGTGCCGAATAGCTAGTGTCGTACACGACAAGCACGCCGTCAGGACTCGAACCCTAAGACTTCCCGATCTGAGGCACTGCAGAGACATTTGATGCCCTGAGCCACCTAAGCAGGTTTGATATCTTTGAGGGGAGGTGGAACATGTGGTCTGAAGTGGGTGTCCTGAGAAAACAGCATCATGGCACAATCCTGCCACGAGCGTTATCGTTCTGAACACAAGCACATCAATCGCACTCACTTTGAAACAAATGTCAAAGATCGGTGATGAGCGAACGATAACAGAATTATTAAGTTGATGATTGTTGAAAGCACCGAATTGCGGTTATTGTCAGCCGTTTGGCGTACATTTTCAAAGAGTGGTAAAATCCACTTTGGCCATTACGAACTTGCGGCGGGCATGTAAACGATCCGTGACTGAATGAGCGGTAAAATTCAATCCGAAAATTCGCGCCGTAATCTGATCGTTGTAATGAGATAGTAATCAGTCAAGTTGTAAGCATTGATGGAAAAATACATGAGTAAATTTAGCACGTGCTTAGGGGTTTCGCTCGATAGGGGGCGACCAATAATTTTTCATCAAAATTATTTCAGAAATAATTTAATCGTTCATAAAATAATTGTTAACAATTTTGTTATTAATGGACGAAAATAAACAAGTGGTGCTACAACAGCACGTACTTTCTCGCATTAGGTTACGTAATGTTACAATATCGCAAATTCTGGGCGCGTCCTTGAAATCAGAATTCAACTTGTATACGGATTAGGGTACCGTTAGGTATTAAGGTAACGTGCTCAGAATACACTTCTCCCCGTTATATAAAAGAAATACAATACAAATAAAACAATACGAGTTTTTCTGTCGAAAAAGCACGTTTTTACGCAGCATAGCAATACTTACTCTACACAGCGTAAATAGCATGCGAGAAAGTAAAAACTAAACCAGTTCAAAAACTATATAAAGACTTGAACAACACAGCTAACATGCAAATGACTTTATTTTATAAACATAAAATTTGTAAATTATTTTACGTTCATATTGATTGGTGAGAGATTGGTTCAGTACTTCAATATTATTCGGAGGAGGCATAGTTTGAATAAGCGGAGGACTCGTACACATATGGCCCGGCACTAGTAAGAAGTTGAAATCTGAATACGATTGTTTTGGATCTTGACGTGTCAAACAGATTGGTAACACTACAACCTCATGAATATTCCCCCAGGCGGTGCAGTGCATATGGAAGTTGAATCTACTCTGTTCGAAGTTCATAGACAATGTAAACAAAATACATAATGGTTGATGGAAAACATTGAGAATGAAGAAGGTGTTTGAATGCCGAAAAGGAGAAAGGGATATACTTTGGCATAATCTACCGCTGTTCCAATTTCTCCACTACCAACCTCTCCGAAGATTACCTACTTTTGTTTATTTACATGCCATCTGGGCTTATCGGCACTCCGCTGTGGACCACGTTGAATCTCTCATTATTTGGGATTTTTTTAAAAACGAATCCATCATTCGATGTGTTATTACTTCGGTTTGTTAGACAGAGTTGAGGAAGATCGTCTTTTACAGCATGAGGATTTATAACTACTTGACAACAACCCCGTGAACTTTGGTTAATTGGATATTGATGCATCGGTGTGCTAGAAGGTCATGTCAGATGCAGGAATTAAGCGAAGTTCATTGACGCAAGCGGAGGGTGATGGAGTGATTCCTATTGTAAATATGTTTTTTCTGAATTATGTTACGGAAAGTAACTCGAAAGATTTCATAGGTGTAAAAATTACCTGAATAACATTGCAATAACATTGTGTTTCGTTTTTAATTTCATGATGAAAAATAAGGATATTTTGAGGGGTTTAATTTCAGATTAAATCATATTTTTTTAAACTAACATTAAATTTCATTTCTTTCGAGAACGACGAATTACTTCAAATGCTCGTCAGTAGCATACCTTATTGTTAGTATTCGACAGTAATAAATGTAGTACATATTATTGTGGCGTACTAGGTGTGATTCCCAGATCCACATCCTGCCTTGAGAGAAACCATTTCCGTCTTAAGGAAAATTGGTGTCAGAGGTGACTTAATTAACCATTTGGAGTTACGTGTATATTAAATTTTTATGTGAAGACTTTTTACTGAAATGTAGGGTGATGCAAGAACATGGAAGCAAATACAAGTATTCACGTGGAACATTAATATATCTTGAAGAATAAATCACCGGTTTATTACTATACCCAGTCTCGCTAACATTCTAAAAGCAATACATACAGAAACTAGTGTTGCTATTGCGGCACAAAATTGTTTGGTACTTTTTGGTTTCTTTATCTCTTTAGTGTGAACTAATCTCTCGATTTTGCCCAACCCTCTTCTCAGCTGATATCTATTGCGCCAAATTTTTTTTCGCTTTCTCACGTTCACCTAATAGGAGGTTAAAAAATGACTTTAAGAATATTTTAGAAAATGAAAATATGGATATATAATGAAATTTTAAGTGAAAAAGTAGCATTTTTTGAGAAAATGTTTTTTGAACGTTCCTGAAAATTCGTTATTTAACGTCATTTTTACATACAATTTATGTTTACGATAAACTTCACAAAAATTATATCAAGCCCTTGTATTCCCAAATGCACAGATATGTAAAGAACGTCCGTAAAGTAAATATTAACAACGTAAGAGCTATTAAAATATCACATTTGTGTAAATTTTGACAAATAAAAAGCATACATCAAAATTAACAATTAATTTTAACTTAGTAATAAATAACTTATTTCAAGTCATATTATTTAACTAATTCAGTACTATTCGTACACAAAGGTTCAAGAAAAAATAGGACCCGTTTTTGAGAATATCTTGTTTCAAATTGGCCATACTTCACATAAATTACGCAAAAACTAATATTTAAAAATGTACATGACACTTGAGAAAAATATGCGAGGAGAACAAATTTTATTTGAAGAAAAATGTCATCAATAATATAGCTGTACAAGATGGTCCAAAAAATCTAAAATATTTTGTCATTTTAGAAAATTCAGCGTTATCAGTGAAAATAGATTCTAAGCTATCTTTATTCATAAGTTTATCTTCCTTCTTACAAGAAACTTGAAGCAAAAAATGGAGCCATTTTTTAGAAAATATATTTCAAGGGCTTCATGTAAAATGTTCTCAAAATTCAAAGAATTATTTTCAAAATTACAGATCTTGGATTTGGCTAGATCGAGGGGGAAAACATCTTGGAACAAAATTCTACGAATAAGTTAGCGCTATACTTGTTCACAGAAGGCCGAGCAGACGGACAGAGACAGACAGGCGGACGGACGTTTAAAAAAAACAGTATGGCGATATCAGTGTAAATAAAACGTGAATTTACGTTTCTTGAAATTGATTTTCCGCAGCATTACATAACGTGCTCAAACTATGTGTACAACTACTATAATTATTATAAGGGAAAGTAAAGTTACAAATTTTATTGTAAATACTGTTTCATTTGATGCTAAACATTTCGAATGGTTAAGTAAAGAAAATGGGAAAAGAAAGAACATTTAATTAGCCAGGCCGTTCTCCCAAAACAGAAAATTTCTAGAAGCAGAAAGTTGCACCTGGAGGAATTAAGAGCAAACGGATTTTCCTCCTCTAGTGGGTGGATGAGGAAGGAGACTACCAAAATACTCGCTTTAGAATTCTCAGGAAATTCCTTCCTCTTGTTTTGAGCGGTGATTGCGTGAATCCTGTTGACGTGTTCTCACATTTGTTGCGTTCAAATAAAGCTATTTATTTACGCCCTTTTAATAATATGTTATGTATTCCAGCTGTATATTCAACCGACGAATGCAATTGATTCCACATCACGTTAATTCCAAATCGGAAGCCAATTGTGTCACTTTTTTTAGAATATTTACAATCCACTGTCAGAATTGCATTATCTTCGCAATTCACACTTATTTGAAACCGGAGAAAACAACTGAGAGACTTTACAGTTTTAAGAGCAGATTTTGCAATTTTCTCATCATAGTTTACTCTGTAATTCTTGAAAGCAGCAGCAATGTGAATGTAATTGTGTATGTCACCTAAAAATGTCACAATTTCAACAAAGCTTAAATTTTAACTTAAGAAATCGGAGGACAATGATAAATCCTAGGCAACATTAGCAACGTGGAGAAGAATACAAGTGTAAATTCATTAAGCGATTTTTTTATCATTTTAATTTCACCTCCACTCTAGAAATTATTAGTTGTTCGCACGTCGCTTGTCGTTAACACCAACTTAATAATACACGATCATTGAAGAATACTCTCTCCTCATTTCCAAAGAAAACCTGTTTTACTTTCTTTTGGTCGCAGAACTGTCATACTATCGAAGAAATATTTTAAGGTTTGCTTATTTCCTCCCTAAATTTACTCCATGTTTTGTTTATTACCAGTAGAACCATCTCGTTCTCCTCTTAATGGAAATTACCCATACTATATTAATCATTCACCTCCCCCTGAAAAAATTTCTTCTGCATTTGCATAATCATTCATTTTTCAATACACTTCAATTAATTTCTAATTAGTGCCTGAGATTGACAACACTTTACGTAATGTAATTTTAAAGAAGGGTTACTATTATAAATACTATATGCAAAGCTGAGTCT